ATAAGGCCCGTTTTACTTGGCTTCATGCAATAAATCGGAATGAAGTCCTGATGCGCCGCCTTTCATTGACTATGCGTGAACTGAGCAACGAGTTTCTCCCACCTGAGGTGGTTTTGAAACCACTTGCTGTTTGTCCCGAGGACACATCCACTGAAGAAATCCGGGATCCTGAGCTCACATCAAACCAGCAGTTGGGGCTTGAGCTGATCAAAATTGCATCTAAGTTTTCCGGGATCTCTGTTGCCGCCAGTTCTTGTTTTGTAAATAAATCACATGGCTGAAATAACCATTACCTATCATAAATTGTAGCTAATTGGTCTTCTGAATGATTTGTTTTTGAAGATGAGAACCGTATATGTTTTAAATCTTTTTTCACAAGATTAAGCAACTTTACTGTGGCCAAAATGAAGCACACATCAAGGAGCGTGTGAATATTTGTGTGTACAATAGAGGAGCAAGCGAAATGAGTAATTGTCTTCAAACCATTGACTTTGACTGACCGGTGCACATGACAGCGACCTAAAACAAGCACAACACTAGAAGTTCGAATAGAGAAATGGAGTGTATAAAAGTTGGTCAATGAATTACTAAATAGTTGGAACAAAACTTAATGAAATTTAAGCTTTCCTACGTTTAACGAGCGTTCGGTTTATGTGCTACCGTGATATAAAACTTTCCCTTCGTATGACAGTCGAACCTTTAGGCGCGTACTGAAGGCAGATGTGAGTGGTGTTTATATCAAAGACAGTAGCTACTGGTGGAGATCATCGCCACTAGTTTCTGTAAAAGATACTTGTTATTCGTACTTTGTTAATGCCGGGGAAATGGAGAATCCAACCAATTACAGGGACATTGTAGAGGAATTGTACCACCACTGGCATGAATCCGCTAAAATATAGAAGGAGGAACTTCCTCAACAAGGCTTAAATGGCACGTGATAATTGCAGAGCAGGTCGCTGCACGATACATTATGCAACGAAGCCCTTTTTTAATAACCAAGGCTGTTCTCACCTGAAGAGACAAAATGATCCGTAGAGTTCAATGACAGTACCAATCAGTGGGAACCCAAACAGAACCACAAAGATACCACCAAAAAAGAAGGATGTGCCTTTCAATTTGTGCCACTGGAAGAAGAAACGTAGCACGCGCTCGGCACCGACAAATAGCCAAAGCCCAAATATGAATAAGATCTAAAGGTTGGTCTATAAAATGTGTCTCGGATTACATTGCCCAAAGCTAATAGGCCAGCATCGAATAGCAACACCATGCCTAGACCGAAAAATGCTATGCCTATGGCCATTAATGCCAGGCCAATCTCTAATATCAAATCACGTAAGGAAACGGTATAATACTTTGAATATCTGTTAAGTCCAACATCATACGTTGTTGCGAATGAGTTCCAAGAAAACTGAAAGAGAAGAATACACGTATTGTATATTGTGAAAAGAACGACTATACTACAAATCTGCAATTATCACAATTGCGGGTTCTTGGGACGAGACATTAGCATTAAAATTACGGTGTGACTTGGCCTATTAAGTTAATTCAATTACGCGTAGGGGACAGAAATTAAGATAGGCAATTTCTCAGATGGGAATTAAGGATGAAAACGACATTAGACACGAATTTTGAAAGGTGAATAGAACTTTTAAAAATGTTCTAAAATGAGATTCGACAAGCGAAACTCCGTGCAAAATTAGCTACAGGCGTGGACCTCTCTTCTGATCGTGATAAATATTGCACAGAAAACATCAAAAGTTAGGTTGCCTTCAAGACAACTATGTGAGAGCCCAATGCCCACAAGTATTACCCAAACAAAGTATGGAAATGACATTTTAACGTTGGTTGAAAAAGAAAACTAGCCCACTGTAACAGCGTAAAAAAAATAAAAAACCTCGAATAGATTCGCAATAGAACAAAGTATATGTGTGGTGCACAGTATTGTGTAGTGTGGCGATGTGTGGTGTGGTGAGGCGTCGGATCAGGGCGCAGACATGTTGGACCACCTGGCCTCAGCCAATCCCGTGTCTCTCTGTGTTCCAATGGAACGCGTGGAAGGTAAGCAGCCAACCAGAGAAGGACACGACTGAGGTGCAGTATAATGAGCGGCGTGGCCAGCGTGGTGGACTCGGATGGAAGGCGCCTGACGCGTGGCTCTGGCTTCTGATTGGTCAATAAAGCCTGTTCTTTTGTGACATGTTCTGTTGTACCAGTCTTCTTCATACTAGGGCTCGGGTATTTTATATTGGTAGCAGCGGTGGAATGCGTTCGAATAACGCGAATCGAACACCAGCACTTTCTCTTCTATGGTCAACAGAAGGCAAAGACCTTTGAATGGTAGCTGAAGTTGTTATGTTGGTCATCGATGTCCAATAAACTGCATCCACAGACATTGCACGGGATTGGGACTGCTGCATCTGAAGAGACATTGGCAACTCAGCGACGATGACATTGACAGTAGAAGCCAGATGGACCGTAAGTGCGAAGGAACTTACCAAGGATGAATTCGCCTTCCTGCAAGTTAATAAGAGCAAGTCCCCTCATCTACTAATTGATTGTGCCACTATCCTGCCAGATATGTGGTGTCGGGGAGTGATGAACTGGGTATTTTGTCAATCATGAACAGTCAGGTGAACCAAGCCAGAAGGTAAGGAGGCGCAGATTTATTTGACCACCCTGGTCTCAGACAATCCTGCGTTCCACTGGCCTGAGATGGAGATAAGCAGCCATTCAGAGATAGACACGTGTGAGAAATTTAATAAACTGAGCAGCGTGGCCAGCGTGGTGAACTCGATTGGAAGGCGCCTGACGTGTGGTTCTGGATTGTGATTGGTTAATACAGCCTGTTTTGTCGTGCCAGTCGTCTTCATACTAGGACCGGTGCATACTACACCCGTTTACGAACCAGGCGATGAAAATTTATCATCTCCTTTCCATTGATTAATGTTTTCAAATGGCCGTCATTAGCCCACTTATCACACAATAAAGCAAACTTGGCTGACGTGACGATAATTAACGGTCCTGTCCACTATCACTTCATTATTCCTCCATCGCACAGTAACTGACAACGCGAGGCTGGACAATGCTGCTACGCAGAGGAATGCCTTGTGTGTGTGAG